TGGTTTAACTACGATCAGGTCTACCCAGGGTGAAACAGCAGCAGGGATGAGAAAAGGATAGACAAGAAGACAACAGCTGGGCTGTGTGGTGGCTGGTCTGCTGATAGGCAGAGGAACACAGCAGCACAACAAAGCACATGACTGGGCCAGCCAGATAGATTGAGACTGGGTGTGGTGGCGCACACCTCTAATCCCAGTGCTCGGGAGGCTGAAAACAGGAGAATCACTGAGAGTCGGATCTAGATCTACGTGGTAAGACCCCGTACTAAATAAAAAAAAAAAAAAAACCTCACTCCCCCACCCCACAATTATTTATACTTTTGCAAAGTTAGTAACAAGTGACACAAGGTTGCCTAGCAACTTATAGCTGACCTTAACCAGACAGGATGTTTGTCTCAGGACTGAGGCAGCTTGTTTGCTTTAGGCGCTGAGGCCCAGATCCACCTACACACACTTGATCAATTTCCTAGCTTTGGTGGCTCCCAGCATAACCCCCTTTTTCCTTTTGCTTTGTCAGAGATGAGTGTTCTGTTGCAGTTAGAGAAGTTAGAGAAGCTGTATTTGGAGAAGTCTTTAAAGGACCTTTTTATACTTGATGCCAGTCCACAGATTGTAGGTACTTGAATTCCGCAATGTAACTCTATATAGTCCAACAGTCCATAATAGTAGTAAGTTACCAGCACAGCTGGTAATTGTCAGTAGTTGATGACGGAGCCTTTAACAGCTCAGCATATTAATACGGCATTACTTTTTATACCTCGTGGTTACATTTTTCTGCTGCCGGATGCCTTCTCTCCACTGCAAAGGAAGGCCACTTATCCCGGAAACTACCTAGCAAGTCCCGCTGCATAATTACACACACGCATTTTCTATTATCCTGTTCCCTAGGGAAGCCTGATCACTACATGGAGCCTGTGAGCCACTGAGAACCATTTCAAAGGAGGATGACAAGGGCCCCAGGGGAGCCCAGCCCAGGGTTAGAGACGGGCAGGGTTTGGGGCCGGCTTCCCCAGGCCTGGGAGCGCTGACGGGGCCAGGGATTTGTAGCTCTTAATTTCCAGGCTTTCCTGCTGAGAAACATCACCCCAGCCACAGCAGGTTTAGGCCCAGGTTCCGAGGCCCCCCGGATCCATACTAGCAGCTGAGGGGAGAGGTGTGGGTGAGGAGGTGCACGGGAGACCCCGAAGCTGCTACAGCCCTGGGTGAGAGTCTGCGTGCTCCTGCCTCACAGGAGGCCTCACTGCCTGACAGGACCTGGTGGGACCCAGGCAACCTTTGGGACTGCTCCAGCTTCACAGGAGCTCTGGCCTCCTGTGGGCTGACCCAGGCCACCTCTACTGCAAGAACTGGAATTATTTTATATTTTGCATCCGTATTTTTTAAAAATGTAGGTCCTCCAACAAGGAGACAGGGTCAGGAATGTAATCTGCCCCACCTGCGTAAACATGAACCCAACTACAGATGCACTGTGCCGAGCCGGGCCTCCTGCATGAGCTCATGCACGTGAAATGCTTGCCACGTAAGTCACATAGATGAGTGGTCACTTGCAGCTGGGGGTGGAGTGGTGCAACGGGTCCTGAGTCTCTTGTAAGGTAATAGGATTAGAGGTGACCACTGCAAAACTACTGGACTGACTGCTGGAAAGAGGTGATGCTTACACTGAATTATAGCTTGATAAATCTGTTATTCAAAATACTATGGGAGGGGCTGGTGAGATGACTCAGTGGTCTAAAGCACCTACTTAGAGCAAGCTTAGCAAAGCACAGGGACCGCGGTTCAATCCCCCAGCACCACATGCCAGCTAGCCCCACCCCCTGATGGACTGAGCTGGCCACACACACACACACACACACACACACATAAATAAATAAAATTTTTAAAAAATACTATGGGACTATAGTTGGCAGCCACTAGCAATTTTCAATTTTAAAAAAACACAAAACAAAACAAAACAAAAAAAACCAGCCAGGCATGGTGGCACATGCCTGAAATTCCGGCATTCAGGAGGCTGAGACTGGAGGCTTTCTGAATTTGTGGCCAACCCGGGCTAAGGGCAGCCGAACTGCGCAGCGAGGCAACTGCCCGTTCCAGCCCAGCAGACTACCTCCACCTGCTCGCACCCTCGGCTGGCCGGGAGCTGGGCCATCACGCCACCAAGACGCACCGGTGCGTGGCGCCCAGGGGTCAGGGCAGGCGCGCGCGGGCGGGCGGGGCCCTCGGGTCTACAAGAGCGTGAGGGGCGCCCGGCGCGGCGCCAGGATGGGGGACGCGCTGTGGGTGCGCACGCAGCTGCTGTTCGCCGACTACCTGGAGTTCTGCGCGCGGGAGCCCGGCACCCCAGG